TAATAAGAACAGTGGTAAGTTGCGCATAAGAATTGAGGTACTAGTCAAGAAATACTTAGCAATTGTCCAAATGCCGCCAATAATCAGGAGCGAGCTCGGAGCGAAGGAGACAATGCGCACGAGGATAACTTAGCTAACCCAAAGAGTGTAAGCCGTAAAAATAATATAAAAACTGGAGGGTAATAAGAAAAAGGGCACGGGTAATAAGAAAATAAAGGCAGGCAGAAAGAGACAGACGGGTCAGGTGAGACGAGATAACGGCAGGGCAGTAAAGACAGTCGTCCGATTTAAAAAGGAAGAAAAGCGGAAAGCGATGGAAAAGGTTGTGATTTAGATGCGAAGGGCTAACCGGTAAAGAGTGGATAAGCCCACGAGGCTCTCCAAGTGCTGTAAAGGGATAGTGAAGTGAGCCAAACCGAGAGAAGTGAAGTGTCAGAAGTATGAATGAATCCGGGGAGCAGGAGGCCGATCAGTTAGGACTTGATTAGTCGGCGCGTTTGGATAAGGACATGTAGTAAAGGTAAGAAAAGTGCCTGCAGTAGATGGTAGGCAAGTCTAGCAGGCTCTAAATTTAAGGGAACATCATGTTTAGACTGCGGGGAGTATACCACGTAAGTCTCATTAGCATAGTAGCAGACTGAGGGAAACAGACTAGGCAGGTGAGCCAAGATCACGGCAATGCAGAAAAGCCGGACGTTTGATTAAAAAAGATTGGAAACTGAAGGCGAGAGAGAAAAAGGTTAGGGTCGGGGTGAGAAGGGTTTATTGGTAAAGAGTGGAAAAGCCCACGCGTCTCTCCAAGTAATGTAAACAGAACCATTATGTCAGCCGAATCAATAGAAGTGATGTCTCAGAAGTCCAAATGTATTCATTGAGTTTGAGGCCGACTAAGCGGGACTAGATTAATCGGCGCTTTGGGACTAGGTCGTATAAAGTATATAAGTAAGAGGCTATAATAATAACGAGTGAACAAGTCTAGCAGTCAAGCAGTTTAGGAATGAGCGCCACAGTAGCAAGAACATTTAGCGACGCCTGGGATTAGGCATACAGATAATTAATCGGACGGAGACGAGAAGCGTGAGGCCGTTACTTATACCATTGGGAACCTTAATCAATGGCAACCGATCCTCAAATGAATAGAGGTATTGGTTTGAGGCCCATGGGCATTTGGGGCCTGAGAGGCCGGACTAGTCGAAAAGGTTTAAGGATATGTGCCACAGCAGCGAAGATCGTCAAAGGGGGCCTAGGAGGTTGCGCTAACGTTAGTTGTACCTGTACCACTACTAAAGTTGCGATTTGGACCAAATGAAAGGCCAAGCAAGAGTGGTAGACGTTGATGTGTGCTGGGAAGCATGATAGTGGAGCCGAGAGGCAAAATTAATCAAGGATCGGAGCTTTCGTTTTCGGTAGGGGGACCAAGAACACAGACAATGTATCAGACGGAGACGAGTATCATGAGGCTGTTACTTTTACCAATGAGAACGTTATTTGATGGCGGTCGATGTTCAAATGAAAGAGGCCTTGGTTTGAAGCCTATGGGCATTTGGGGCCTGAGAGGCCGGACTAGTCGGAAAGGTTTAAAATGAGAGGCAAAGTAGGAAAGAGAATCTAGCGAAGCCTAGGATTTGTCACTGGCGTTATGTGTACTTAGACCACTGTTGAAGAGTAGCGATAAGGACCAGAAGGGGTGCCGAATACAGTATACACAGAGTTAGGTTAAGCAAAAGGGAGGAGTAGAGTAAGTAAGGATGCGGCTAGGGATATAAATCTCAACGTTCTAGAAGGAACAGTAAGTGAAATAATTGGATCAATGTGATGGAATTCGTGAGACAGTCTCATCTAGATAGGGATAAGAAGGACAAAAGAGAGCAGACGTGCGAATAAGGTGTCAGAAACAGCCCGAAACTTTACCTTTGGCTTGATACGTCGCACCGTGTTATTGTGATGGATTCCTGGCTATATATGGCATTCCTATATGGTTATGCCTATATAGAACAGGTAACTTTACGCTAGTTTGTAGCTTTTCTTGTCTATCTTATATAACCTTGCAAAACACCTTTAAGCTAACTAAAACGACAGCGCTATTCGTAGACCATTATTCCAGCGCGAATAACGTGAGCTAGTGCTCGTATATAATTGCTGTGGTTTTCAACGTACTCAGCAATTAAAACAAGTGAGGTTTACCCTTCCGACACCATTAGACTTAAAAAAGCTTCAAACTGGGGTTTTCTTTCTTTTTGTGATATACAAGTTTGAGTTTTGGCAACGGATCTCAAATTTAGCACAATAAATTGTGGTTACATTACATGTTTCTTTGTTCCTTCTACCTCCACCGTTCTTAATTCTTTATATGTGTCCACCGTTATGTGACAATATTAAGCGTGTTGCAATTGTCTAAAACGCTTTAATGAAGTTGGCGGGGACGTGGATCCTGTTTACAAAGGGAATATGTATAAATGCGGCTCTGCACGAACTGTTGTCATTAAGGAAATAAACGGAGCACAATGTAGCCTAAAAGATCCAGCTGAAAATCAAGGTAGACGCGTACAACGCGCCCAATTTTACGAGTCAAAACCTGTGTATTCATTATGGCTAACAAGGAACCTAAAGCAATCTTCCGGCAATTTGAGGCCTAATAGTTCGGAGACTGTGTTTACGTCGAGGAATCTTCTTGTAGTATTGTTGAAGTGTGTTCTGGTCATAGTTGATCAGATTTGCAGAGGTAACTTGTTCCAAGTGTCCGCGTATCTATAAAGGAAGAAGTTATGGCGTATGCCGCAACGAGCACCCTGCAGACTGAATGAATTGGTCGCGCTGCGTAGATGATATCGGGTATCCCCATTCAATCGGTAGTGTCGTATCAGTTCGTTTCCGCCTTTTATTTAAGCTTGTATAGAAACGTAACGTTAATCTTAACCTCCGTAGGCACAGCATGTCCAGTCCCAGTTGTCCGCATCGACTACGGTAGTTCAGCATGTTTGAGCCTAGTAGACGCTTGGTGAAGGAACGCTGTAAGTCCTCCACTGCAACCCTGTCGCACTTGCGTAAGTTCGTAAGGATTATAGAGCAGCATTCAAGAATTGGGCTTGCGCAGGTTTAATACCTTGTCGGTCGAGATTCCAAAAGCGACATGGATTTGAAGATATGGCCCATTAACAATATAGCTTTAGTCGCACTATAGCTTACTTGTTCGGCAAAGTTGAAGGTACTAGAGTATTGAACCCCAGATCACAAACAACGTGGCTGACGGTAAGAGCAGCGCCAGTGAGAGTAAGGGTATTCGGTATCACTGTGCATCAATAGGAGAGAATGCTGCTTCCTTCTGAGGAAACTTCACGATTCCATATTGCGCACCAGTATTCTAGCCCCATAAAGTCTCTTTGTGTTGTGGATACATTATCTCTCATATTATCGGAGACGAAAGAAAATACCACTTTGATGTCGTCCGCGAATAGGTATAACTTTCCCCAGAGGAAGACTTAGAAGACATCATTGACGTAGAGTAAGGAGAACATGGGCCCAGCACACTTCCTTGAAAGACTCCGCTGGTGACCGCTTTTCTAGAAAACGTCCAGCCGCCCAGACACACCGATTGTGTTCGATTTGATAAGTAGGATGCAAACCAGGAGAGCAGCTTCCCGGCGATGCCAAAAGAGGCGAGTTTGGTCAGTAGTTTCAGGTGTGGAACGCGGTTGAATGCTTTTCGCATGTCAAGGAAGATGACGACCACTTTATGCCCTAAATCCACTGCATCAGTGACGTGGTTTAAACACTCAAACATACAGGTCTGGCAGGAGTTTCCGGGCAGGAATCCGTGTTGAGTCCTGTTAATGAGATTACGAGGCAACAGAAAGCTAAGAATTTCTGCTTTTACCAGCCTCTCCATTACTCTTGACGCGATGGGTTTGTGGCTGATAGGCCGATAATTGTCTATGTCAAGACGGGATCCCCGTTTATGTCTTGGTGGGTCAACAGCATGCTTCCAAGCAGAGGGGAAGATATGGGTTGTCATGGGGAGTATAAATAGATTAAGAGGGAGAACAAAAATTTCTGGAACTCCTATTATCAGCACTACGGATGGAACGCCATCGGCACCGAGATATTGAGACTTTTGTGTATACCAATATCTCGCATAATTGCGCGTAGGTTGCATTTGTTGCTGGTCAGCCTATTATCAGTGGGCAGGAGTGTTGTAGGCGATGTCGTCGAATCGGTGACCGAAAAGGAGTTGTAAAAGTGCTTTTTGATATAATCACAAAGTTGGGCGGGGTCCGTCATGAACTTGCCATTAGGAAGTGATAATGAAGCAATTGTTGGAGCTCTGTTGTTTGCTCTGCGTTTCATCAATTGGGTGAGTGTTTAACTTTGTTGTTGCTGCTGAGTGCAGCGTGTTCCGCCGATGTGGCAGACGTTACCTTCAGGTTTCTTCACATTGTTTGTGTGTCCTTCATGGGCATTATTACGTAAAAATCTTTTGTCTCGTTGTAGTTGGAGCGCATTTTTCTCATTTTTGTAGTACTCTCTGTGCATCTGTTATGCACTTCGGTTTCGTAGGTTTCCTCATGTTCTGCTAAGGAGCGACTATATCAAGACAGAACATAATGTGGTTATATATATCTTGGGTCGCCATATCACTGTCTGTTGCCAGAAAGAGGACATCTTAATTAAGAGATCGTAGAGGAGTGGAGAAGCTTTCCCAATCGACGCGTTGTAGAGGACGTAAAAAATCGCTGGGGAGAGGTTATACTGCTTAGTAGTGGGCAGTGTGAACATAAACTTCACTGTCTTATGTTCACTACCAAGAAGGTTGTCAAGCAGACAAACTTGTGCCAGGTTGATGCTTTTAGAGAATATTAAGTCAAGGACATTAGATTTCCTGGTAGGTACGTTAACATGTTGAGTCCAGTCGTATGCAAAGATAAGGTCGACAAACGCTCTATAATTGGTAGGTGAGGACTGGCTAGACCTCTCAATGCGTGGCATATTAAAGTCACCACCGATTATCTTAAGGCGTGCAGGTAACAGCGAAACTTCTGTGAATAGCTAGACCGATTTTTGATTTCAGCTGTTGAGATATGCTGTCGGATGTAGACGCAGCCAATGAGGAGGTCTAGGTGCTCTCCATCTGCCAGAATCCATATAGAGTCTTCCGGGTTACCCAAAGATATAGCTTGGAAGGAGGATGCATGAAAGTCTTCGCTGATGTAGATGAGGCATCCTCCGCCTCGTCGCTTTTCGCGTCCACTGCAGAATGCCGAATATCCAGGTATTTGGATGGGTGAGTCAGACGAACTGGCAGGGTGCCATGTCACCGTTATTAGGACCAGTTGTGCTTTGGACATAGTAATAATCGGACCCAGAAGGTGATTCGTTTGATTAATAGACATAGCATTGATGAGAAGCCTATTGTGGATCCCCAGCTTACTAGGTTCGTCGATGTGGGATGTAGTAGGGCGTGTTGGGCCATCTCTTGGTGGATAGTTATTGGTTAGATTGCCGAAATTGAGTGAACAGTCTCTCAGCATCACAGGCGATCCAGAATTAGGTAAGGGGCTTGTTTGCCGGCATGCGTGGAGGTGCATGCCGGGTAGGTCGGTGGAAATTAATGGGACAGGTTGGGAGTAGTATGGAGCATCGTATACGAGGGGGGAAGGAGGTGGAGGTAACCGATGATGCATACGAGCCGAGAGATCTAGCCCGTAGTCGGTCATGAAGTTGGCGTTTAGAGGAACCGTTCGAATGCCTGAGATATGTTGGTTGGAATCGAGCGCAGGCTGAGTATACCGCGAGGACACCGGTTTCCGCCGAGGACGTGGCTGTATAGACCATATATTCACCCTGCGGCAGATGCTAGAGCAACGCCAAGCATACCGCAGATCAACAATAGCTGTGTTCCTCGATTTCAAGTGTGCGTTCGATTCAGTCGATCGATCGATTCTGTTCGAAATACTTCCGCGGAAAGGTGTTCCCACGAAATATGTGAACACCGTGCTCTATACTCGAACACTACAGGCCGCGTAAGGGTATACGGTCGCCTATCGGATAGCTTTCCGACCACAAGTGGCGTTCGTCAGGATTGTCCGATTCCCCCATTTTTGTTCAATTTCGTCGTGGATTCTAGCATGAAGTGTTCCCTTGCGGAATCACACGATGTAGGCGTCGAATTGCTGCCTGGTGAAACGGTTAGTTGATCTAGATTAGGCGGACGATATCGTCTTGCTTTTCGACGATGTTGAGGGCGGCACAATCAACCCTGAATAGCCTGTCCAGAGTAGTCCCATTATTTGGTATGCACTTCGCACCTTCAAAGTGCAAAGTTTTGCTGCAGGACCACCAGCCACTTGATGACCCTTAACACTCGCTAACGAGGCACTCGAGGTGGTTGATTACTTCACTTATCTTGGCAGCTGCATCAGCAATGATGGGCACATAGAAACTGACGTCAGCTCACGCATTGCAAAAGCCAGAGCTACCTTCTTGGACTTGCGGCTTCTTCAGGCGACAGAAGTGAGTTTCCCTCCGTCTGAAAGGCCGGGTATACAAGGCCACAGTGAGGGCCGTTCTGCTCTATGGTAGTGAGACTTGACCCCCTTCGGTCTGAAGATCTGAGGCGCCTTCAAGTCTTTGATCATCGTTGTCTGCGAAGCATTACTGGTGTCGGATGGCACCAGCGTGTCCGCAACGATGATGTGCGTAGGCGAGTACTAGGTGGTGATAATCATGCTAGCTCCCTAGAACAACAGATAGCACCGAATAAGTTGCGTTGGCTCGGGCACGTGCTACGTATGCCTGGTCACCGTTTACCTAGGAGGGCCTTGTTTAGTCTGCCAGGTGTAGGGTGGTGCAAAGCTCGAGGTGGACAGAAGTTGACTTGGCAGCGGGAAATGAAGTCACTGACGACCAAACTGGGTGCCGCTGGTCCGTCTCGCCTTCCGGGCTGGAGTCCACGTGACTCGCCTTGTGCTTGGCTCGAGACTTTACAGGACATGGCTCGCAACCGACACCAGTGGCGCGTCTGCTGTCGTCTCCTAATCGGATTGCCTGTTTAAAGTGTGTTTGGTGCTGAGTTATCTGCGGGGTAATGGCTGATTATGACGCATGGCAGTGAAAGCCGCAAGAAAGCTGTCTCGCCGATGCCGCCTTATCCTTGCACGATAGCCAGCTGTTTGTGACGGTATGTTGTCTACACAATGTGTAGGCGCCTTGGCTCTGAATGTTTGATTAGGGCATTAAGGTTTTCACGTAATTCCCCCTTCTATCCCTCTTATTAATCTTTATTTCATAGGTCTTCATTGTTGTATGGCAGCGAAGTATCAGTTCAAGTGGTTGATATACTGCTGTTGTTGTTGTTGTTGTTGATGATGATGATGATGGTGATGGTGATGATGATGATGCCAAATGCTTGGCTTGTTGTCCCCTAAGTCAAAACCCTACTTCGGCTTGGGCAACCGGGTAGTATCTCGCCCTCTGACGAAACCATGGACTTTTATGTGTTGTGTTGTGTTTTCTTTTACTATTTCGGTAACTTCTTTTGAGTCCCAGGGTTTTCGGGGGCTCCATGTCTATTCGTGTATTATACATTTATATATATATATACGGCGTCCATTTTTTAAACTATGGAATCTGTAGACCTTAAGGTAGGGTTTCTCCTTAGCGTTGTACCTCTCTGTGCCACCTTTTTGAGACATAGATTTTCTTTTGTGATTAGCTCATCTTGAGGCAGAGTTTTATAACCCCAGAATTACTTCCGACTACGCGAAATACAGCAAGCTCATGTCCTACCTCCCCAACGAGATATCCATGCAGGCCAAAGACGTTATCATTCCTCAGACCGAAAACTGCTATGAAGCCCTCAACGAGGCCACCATTAAGCGAGTCATGCACTCCGAGAAAGTCCGCCTACAGTAGCTTTTCAAGGATTTGCAGCTGGGCGACAAACTACCCTCAACCCTGATACGAGAGATGCAGCAACTCCATGGCTCATCAACGATGGACGAGAGTTTGCTTCGTGAACTGTGGCTACAAAGGCTGCCGGGAAACACGCAAGCGATTCTAGCAACCGTGAGCTCCGTTTCGCGCACTCAACTAGCTGACTTAGTACATCGGGTCATCGAACGAGCACAGCCACTAGCCGAGACCAGAAAAATCAATTCCGTTGCGTCCCAGAGCACCACTATCACTCACCATCATCATCATCAACAGCAGTACATCAGCCATTTGAACTGATGCTTCGCTGCCATACAACAATGAGGACCTATGAAATAAAGAATAAGAGGGAGAGAATGGGGACTTACCTGAAAACCTTAATGCCCTAACCAAACATTCAGGGTCAAGGCGCCTACACCTTGTATAGACAACATACCGTCACAAACAGCTGGCTATCGTGCAAAGATAAGGCGGCATCGGCGAGACAGCTTCCTTGCGGCTTTCACTGCCATGCGTCATAATCAGCCATTACCCCGCAGATAACTCAGCACCAAACACACTTTAAACAGACAATCCGATTAGGAGACGGCAGCAGACGCGCCACTGGTGTCGGTTGCGAGCCATGTCCTGTAAAGTCTCGAGCCAAGCACAAGGCAAGTCACGTGGACTCCAACCCGGAAGGCGAGACGGACCAACGGCACCCAGTTTGGTCGTCAGTGACTTCATTTCCCGCTGCCAAGTCAACTTCTGTCCACATCGAGCCTTGCGCCATCCGACACCTGGTAGACTTAACAAGGCCCTCCTAGGTAAGCGGTGACCAGGCATGCGTAGCACGTGCCCGAGCCAACGCAACTTATTCAGTGCTATCTGTTGTTCTAGGGAGCTAGCATGATCATCACCACCTAGTACTCGCCTACGCACATCATCGTTGCGGACACGCTGGTGCCATCCGACACCAGTAATGCTTCGCAAACAACGATGATCAAAGACTTGAAGACGCCTCAGATCTTCAGACCGAAGGGGCCAAGTTGCACTACCATAAAGCAGAACGGCCCTCACTGTGGCCTTGTATACACGGCCTTTCAGACGAAGGGAAACTCCCTTCTGTCGCCAAAGATGACGCAGGTTCAAGAAGGCAGCTCTGGCCTTTGCAATGCGTGAGCTAACGTCAGTTTCTATGCGCCCATCATTGCTCATGCAGCTGCCAAGATAAGTGAATTGATCCACCACCTCGAGTTCCTCGTTAGCAAGCGTCAAGGGGTCATCGAGTGGCTGGTGGTCCTGCAGCAAAACTTTGCACTTTGAAGGTGCGAAGTGCATACCAAATAATGGGACCACTCTGGATAGGCTATTCAGGGTTGATTGTGCCGTCTCAACATTGTCGAAAAGCAAGACGATATCGTCCGCATAATCTAGATCAACTAACCGTTCACCAGGCAGCACTTCGACGCCTACATCGTGAGATTCCGCAAGGGAACACTCCATGATAAAATCCACGACGAAATTGAACAAAAATGGGGAAATCGGGCAACCCTGTCGAACGCCACTTGTAGTCGAAAAGCTATCCGATAGGGCACTATAGACCCTGACGCGGCCTCTAGTGTTCGAGTATAGAGCACGAAGGATGTTCACATATTTCGTGGGAACACCTTTCCGCGGAAGTATTTCGAACAGAATCGATCGATCGACTGAATCGAACGCACACTTGAAATCGAGGAACACAGCTATTGTCGGTCTGCGGTATGCGTGGCGCTGCTCTAGCACCTGCCGCAAAGTAAATATATGGTCTATACAGCCACGTCCTGGGCGAAAACCGGCCTGCTCTTCTCTAATCCGAGATTCCCGTTCTGCAGTGAGGCGACGAACGATAATCGAGGCCAGTAATTTTGTCACAATTGGCGTTAGGCTAATACCCCTGTGGTTCGCACAGTCTGTGCGACTGCCCTTCTTGTATATCGCCACTATAATCGATTCGCTCCAATTAGCCGGCACACTCTCTTCGTTCCAGATACGTTCGAATAGGGAGGTCAGTGCTTTGCAGAGGACCTCACCTCCATCCTTAAATAGTGCAGGTGGTAGGGAATCCGGGCCAGCGGCACGAAAACGATTAAGGGCTGTGATCGCGTTTCGGACTTCGGCCTCCGACGGAGGCTCTAAACTAACCGTCCATGGCTCGTCCTGCATCACCTGAGCAGGAAGAGGTCCGGGAGCAGGGGGCCAGCTGAACTGATGTTCAAAGTGCTCAGCCCAACGAGCCATACGGCGCTGCTTATTGTGTATCAGCGCACCCGCGCTGTCCCTGATTGTCTCACTGACGCCTGGTTTTCTCGGACCAGTGGTGCGTATTAGCTGGAAGAGCTTCCGGTAATTGCCTACTGCTCCTGCCTCCTCCATTTCTTGAGCCCGACTGGTCCACCAGGCTTCCTTGTCAGCACGTAGGCTCCGCTTTAGTTCACGCCTAATAGCCCGTCTGGTCACATTGTGTTCAGAACCAGCCGGAAGGTGCCTTCTAGCTTCCAAAAGGTTCACGGACCTCTCGGATATCCAGTGACTGGTGCGATGACGACTGATAGTGCCACAAGCAGATGCTCCTGCTTCTTGCATAGTGGCCGAGATCTTATTCCACTGAAGTTCAGTATCATTAGGACAAGACAGCGAGAGTTCGCTATGCAGTGCTTCTTGATAGGCTTGCCTGACAGAGGGCTGGGACAATTTCTCCGTTGCCAATCGGGGGAGACGCTTTGTGCGCCTTCCGGTAAAGTTCATGGAGAAACGACAGCGCACCAAGGCATGGTCAGAGTCGACACAGGTACTCCAGTACGAGCGGCAATCCAGAATGGAACCGCGCCGCCTGTAACTTATGGCTATGTGGTCAATTTGGGCCCATCGCTGACCAGCTACAGGTGGACGCCAAGTGGCACTTCGGCGCCCACTGTCTAAAAGCAGTGCTAGTAAGAAACAACTGGTGCTCCGCACACAGTTGCAGCAGACGCTCGCCGTTGTCAGTCCGTTCGGAGTTAAGTCCACAATTACCACCCAGCTGAGCTTCTGAAGAGCTCAGACGCCCTACTTGTGCGTTCATATCCCCTGCAAGTACTATAATATCCGAATTAGTAGCACTGCGTAGCAGCGTGTTCAGTTCGTGATAGAAAGTGTCCTTGACTGCATTAGAACTGCAGTCCGTGGGAGCATAAGCAGAAATCACAAACAAACAGCGTTTTGTTTTACTTCGCGAATTCACCTTAGCTGATGTCGTCAAACGGGCTGCACATAAACGACTGTTCACCGGAATCCAATCAACCAACGATAACTCAGCCTTGGAGCTGAGAATGATACCTACACCAGCTTGACCGGTGAGTGCCGCATCGGCGTCTCCGGATGCGTGCAACCAATAACGAGAGGATAAGCCGGGTGCAGTCAATTCAATAACCCCGTTAGGGTCATTAATCCTAGTTTCGGACACACAACACACATCAACACTCAGTGTGTCCAAGGTGCGTGCGAGTGCAGCCTGCTGACCTGTTTGTCTTAGGGTGCGGACGTTGAAGGTCGCCATGGAAACGGGACAGCGTGGTCTTATAAGGGACTTTTGCCGATAGGCGTCCGATAGGTGCTGTGGGATGGTGGTTGCAAATGGTTCTACTCCAGTAGCACTTCGGTTGCTGTCAATTAAGCTGGGAATTATAGAAGGAAGGTTAGTAATGGGGGCCGGGATGGGAGTAAGAGAAAAAGGTGGAAAAGAGAGAAGGGAGGCGCCAGCAGTAGCATGCTTTCGCTTATCCGCCCTGCTGTATGCAGCAGATAAGGCGACCCTTGATAATCTGCGCGACGGCCGATGCAGGATGAAGTTTATGTTTGAAGAAAATGTCATGGTTGTATGCGGGCTGGGATACTGCCAGGGCGCCCAGACCACTACCACTGGCTTACAGTCAACTACAGAAGCACTGCAAACATAGGTTGCGACACTCGGTCGCCAAGTCGAACTGCTCACTATGAGCCGTCGTCGCCACAACCGATCAAAATCACCCTTAAAACGCAACAAGTCCAACAAGCAGACTTGCTGTTGGTATCATCAACGCTTGGTACCGCAGCAAGTAAGTGTATATAGCCTTGCACCTTCGCCGATAAGCAGGGAAACTTCTCGGACGTGAGCGGCCAACACCAAGGTCTCCTCATCAGCGTTAGAGATATAACCCCCGGTACTGAGTTCCCAGTAGACACCGGAGCCGAAGTTATTGTTGTACCCCGTAGCTCAGATGAGGGGGTCTCACCCTCGCCGAGGGAGTTAATGCAATAAACCCTCGACCGCGGTTACTTCGTACTCTCTACCCCGGAGGAGAGCAACGCTCATGCGGTTTGCGTTTAAGCTGAAAGGTACAAATATTAGTTTTCAGCCGGACCTACCGTTGGCCGATAGGCTGAAGATAAGGGAGGACATCAAGAAGCACAAAAGCAGGCGAGCGGTCGGTGAACAAGGTTTCAGGTTAGTGGGTTTTCGGGTGGTCAACCGGCGGTCCTTTTCCGCCCTACCACTGTCAATTCTGGTAGCGCACGACCCAAGTCTGGCTCTAACGAATATCTTCAGATAGTGCTAAGTAATGTGCGCAGCCTAAGGAATAAGGTGTACGAGTTAGGTCTGCTTGTAGATGGGTGTCATTTCGATATACTCGCATTCACTGAAACGTGGCTGTCTCAGAGCATCACGGATGGTGAAGTACATCTACCTGGTTACGCACTATTTAGATGCGATCGCTCCGCTGGCTGGCAGGGAGGAGGCGTCGCTCTTTACGTAGGCTACAAACTTGAGATTTTGAAGACTTGCTTATTTCAGTCGGCAGACAAAACTGTTGAAGCTCTGTCAGCTATTGTTAGCACATCCTCGGCTCAGATAACAGTTTTAATTGTGTATAGAAGTCCTGGGAGTGTGTCCAAAGTGGTACTTGACTTCATTCGCTCCCAGTCCGCAGACAAGTGTTTGGTGATGGGGGACTTCGACCTCCCAGAGCTTTGCTGGGCAGATCTTTCTTGCGACTCAGCGTCAGGCACATTCGGCGCTGACCTGCTTGAGCTTACGCTCCAAGTATCTTTGCACTAGGTACATGGACGTCCAAGTATTGTCTGTTTTAGACTTTGTATTTGCTAAGTCATTCTATTTTATTGGGAGCATTATTTACGGACCTCCATTGGGTTCCAGTGATCATGTTTGTTTGCTCTTCAGTTGTACTCTGTCTAAACGCTACCAGAGTACTGTGGAGTCTCTCCAGAACATATGGCATGCAGTCTATCAATCAATGAGAGCCAAGACTTCGGGTTTCCATTGTGCGATCTCAAATGATGATATTGTCCAGGTTGCCTGGGATAAATTTAAATCCTACCTCACAGAGGTCTCTGATCCCTTCATCCCAGTCACAAGGAGAAAGGAGGCACGAGCACAGCCAGGCAGGATAGATCCCACTGGCAGGCATCTGCTCACAAAGAGGTCTAGATGTTGGCGGACTTACCGGGATGCTCCGTCCACCCATACTTATGACAGATACCGTAAGGAGAGAAATAGGTGTAAACAGCATCTAAGGAATGCTCGGCTCAAGTAAGAAAAAGGGTTATCGGACGAAGCTTCAGAGAATCCAAAAAGATCCTCCGCATATATCAAAACCCGCTGCAGTTCGAACATGTCGATTCCAGTATTGATGCGTGATGACGGTGCTCATGCGTATAGAGATTATGACAAGGTTTGCGTACTTAGTGGGCAATATGCGGCAGCGTTTGTAAGGGAAGCCTCTTTGACAGGCGTTGAGCTGGTTTGCAGGATCCCAGAGGGTTCAGGACTATCTGAATTTATTGTAGCGGAGACGGAAGTGCATAGGCTGATACAAGAGGTGAACCCTTCTAAGGCCTATTGGCCTGATTTAATTCACCCCAAACTGTTGCATGAGTTGGCTGCGGAACTAAGTGGACCGCTCACTATGATGTTTCAAAAAACCGCTTGACAGCTGTGCGTTGTCTTCCGAATGGAAGGAAGCTGTCCTCTGTCCCATCTTCAAGATTGAGGTCAGGATCATTGGATGACTGGATTGTAGACAGCAAAAGGAAATTTCCTTGTCAGCTTCTTCACTTCCCAATCATTGCGTGGATGCCGTGAGTCGCTACGAGACGGTATTCCACAAGGGGCCATAACAGCCACATTGGAAGAAGCAAGCTCCCAGCTTACTCATCAAGTGATAATGCAGAAACCGCTTGAAACATTCCTCAGTCTGCGCGTCGACCATATGTTTCGACGAGTCGTTCCAGTCGTTTACAATGCGGGATGATAGAGCGAGAGTGAAGCGAACTCTGGGTCTTCTGGGTTTAAATGATTTCCAGTTGTGTCCCCGAGTGGAACTATTAGTGTTGACTTGAAAGAACGCTTGTAGCTCCATCCGCATTTCCCCCATCAGAATTCCCTTAGTAAAAATCAGATCAACTCTCCGTCGACGATATTCCAGGGA